TTTAAAAAAAAAAAAAAAAGAAAGGGCTTTCCTGAAAACAAGTGGGCATGCCCCGCCAGGAGTCAGGACCCCTAGAGATCCCTCTACCAAGTGAGAGTTTGCACTGGGAATCTTGGGCAATGGTAATGATAATTGTTATTGTAATTATAATAAGATAATTATAAATCATTAAAACATATACATACATTAAATATGTATTGTTTTATAAATACGTAAAATAAAAATAAAATTACTTTTTAAATTTCCATTTACTAAATACCTGCTGTATGTCAGGGCCCATGCGTATGGTTTCTTGCTTTGTCCTCCCCAAAACACTGTTGTAGATGTTACCCTTTTACTGATGGGGAGACTCAGGATCAGAGAGGTAAAGTGGCTTAGGTCACACAGCTGGTCAAAGGCAGGGAACTCGATTTGAGCGCAGATGTGATGACCCCCGCCCACCTCCCGAGCTAACGCTGCCTTCCGTGAGCATCTCTGCTGTTTCGTTCCTGGCAGGTGCTACACGAACCCCTGATTGACGAGGACCCTGTGTTCATCGCCACGTGCACGGAGCGGGAACTCCGAAAGAGGAAAAAGCGGAAATTCAGCCTCTGGGTCAGGCAGTGTTCCTCCACTGGCTTCATTATCCAGGTGAGCCCGGGGACGGGCCCAGGGAGGCCAGTCGAGGGGACTCGGCTCATTCGGGAACTGCTGAGCTGGCTCACTCACCCTTTCTCTGGGCCTTCCCCAGGAGCTGCCACAGAGGCGGGGGCTGGGCTGGGGCTCCTCACGGGGGCTCTGGGGCAGCCAACACTGTCCCGCATGTTCTTCCTGTCCTGTCCAGCCCTTGTGGTCCAACAACAATGGTAAACACTGATCAAAGCTCGGGCCCTGACCGTGTCAGCCAGAAGCATCACCAGAAGAGCCGGTCACAAGAGGGGACTCCCATCTGTCTGAGGACAGGCTGTGTGGTGGTCCCAGAAGACCCCTCCCACCCCCGTCCCCTCATCCCGTCCTGAGGAAGCCTTCTTCAGGGGCCACCTGGTTAAATTAGCCTCCGCCAGGAGCACAGGCTCTGTTCCGCTCCAGGCAGACACGGACGTGGCTTTCAGCAGAGTTGGGGAAGTGTCAGGTGTCCGGCTGCCGGGATCGGCCGGGGTGCGGCATGCACAAAAGGAGAAGCTGGGGGCTGGCCAACGCCAGAACGTGGCGCCTAAGTGACAGCTCCTGGCCCCGGGCTGCTTTCTCCTGCCATGCCACCTGGGACACCCTCTTCCATCTGTCAGGACTGCCAGCCCTGCAGTCCCAGCCGACCCCACCTCACCGCCCTCGCCCGGCTGCTGGCCCGACCCGAGGCACAGGGGTTCCGCACTCCCTTCCCCCCGGGGCCAGAGGAGGAGTCGTGGGAAGACTCAGTCGGGTATCTCCTCACCACAGTAAGGAAAGTGCACGTGCTTCAGGCAAACGTGGCTGCTAAGAAGGACCGTCCCATTCTCTCCCTGCAGGCCTGGGGTCCTTCAGCTTGGGCTGGGGCTGGTCCTCGGACATCTGCCCGTGTGGCTTGTGAACAGATGCTCCCGCGTGGGTTCTGCGTGCGTGTGTCTACACCACTGCCTTCTTACTGGGAGCGCTCAGTGGCCAGGAATCATGCCCACTACCTGGCAAGACCACAGATCTCCCCCCGGGACAGGCTCTGCCCAACTTCTATAAAATCCCCATCTATAAAAAGGCTGGACGGGTACCTTGAAGTTTCCTTTTGTTTCTAGAATGCTGTGATTCTAGGAGGCTTTGCTGCCTGGTGAGGGGCTGCACTTACAAGCCAGAAGTGAGCAGCAGTCGGGCTCTGCACCGTGGCCGGGGCAACAGGGGGTTATCCTTCGGCCACAGGCTGTCCTGTGACGGGTAGAGTGAGAACGGTCCCCAGTGCCTCTCTTTGTTCCCTGGTCCAGAGGGAGGGGCCTGTGGTGGGCAGCAAGCAGGGAAGGACACCTTGCCTGTGAGGAGCCAGAGCACGGAGGGAGCCACCATGCGGCCTGGGCACGGTTCTCCTTGGTTTCACGTTTCTCTTTAGTTCCCCTGTCCTTGGTTCTCCACGTCCTGAGCCTGGTCTGATAAGTTTTGAAAGTCCGCAGCCTGGGCAGGTAGGTGGGGCGAGCAAAGCTGGGTGGAGCAGCCCCTTCCCCGGAAGAGCTTGCTCGCCTCCATCCCCCGCGTCTTCCAACAGCCTGTGCGGTCCGAGCGCCGGAGGGTGGGTGGTCCTCCTCCCTGGTGCCCACTCGGGGTGCCCGCTGAGGTTGGTGTTGGCCGCGCAGAGTCGGCACTTCCTGCTGCTTCTGTCCCATGATCCTGGGCTGCCTCTGCCCTCCTCGTCCTGAGGGCCAGCAGGGGTCCCGGGTCCTGCCGGTTCCAGAATGAACTCAGCCAGTTTCCAGAATGGCTCTGGATCCGAGCATCCTCCCCACAGAGGGAGGAGGTGGGGTCACTAACCAGCAAGGTCCCTGCTGCTGTAAGGTCCTGTGGTTCCCCTCTTTGCAAATGCCATGTGGGGTTGTAGACACAAGAACACTGTCTTCGTTTTAGTTTGTCAAAGACATTCTTTTCCTCCATGACTTTTCAACAGAGAAGCCCAGTTGCTGAGCCTGTGGGAGACTGAGGCCAGCCTCTGGCATGAAAGGCCCTTTGCCATGCTGCTTTCCCTTGGTAGCAGTCTGCCTACCCATGGCTTTCTGAGGTTGGCTGCATGTTTTGCTACGGCCAGCAGGTTGCAAGCTGGAGTGAGGCATAGAGAAATCAGAGCGGACGTGCAGGATTCTCCTTGCGCTTCTCCGCTCTGCCCACGAGAGAGTGTCCAGGCTCCATCCCTGAGGTCTGAAAACCCACGAGCTTTGGGACCTTTTCCACATGCCACTGAGCTTCCGTGATGGTTCATTACACATTGACATAAATGACCCAGGGCCTACCAGTTTGGGCCCGCAGAGCTGGCCAGACAGCTCTCTTCCAGTTATTGAGGCACAGACTGAGCTGATGTCTTGAAGGAACAGTGGATGTATAGGTGGGTTTCTAGCAGAAACCAAGGTCTTGCTTCGTCTTGGCTGTTTCATTCCGCCAAGACTCAGCTTTCGTTGGCCGGACTGCATCCTTCTGAAGCACGGTCAGGCTGAGGATTAGCTCTGCTTGAAACATTCTGGGCAAAGGGATAGTGAGGGGAAGAAAGTTCCACATTGGCCAGTCATTTCTCTGGTGGCTCAGGAAAGGTTAGTGGGAAAGAATCAGGAGCTCAGCGCAGCCAGCTCATCCTGTGCCTCAGATGTGAGGCCTTTCTCTCCACAAGGGCATCTGGGTGAGGAGGGTGAGCTAACGGCTAGACAAGAATAATAATACTGGGATGCCTGGGTGGCGCAGTGGGTTGAGCATCTGACTCTTGGTTTCGGCTCAGGTCGTGATCTCAGGGTCATGGGATCGAGCCCCATGTCGGGCTCCACCTTCAGCAGGGAGTCTGCTTAAGATTCTCTCTCCCTCTGCCACCCCACTTGTGTGCTCGCTCTCTCTCCCTCTCTCAAATAATTAAAATCTTTAAATAATAATAATAATAATAACGGTGATGGTTGTTTAGAAGAACTCTGGTATTTTCCAGTATTTTCCCAGGAAAGGACTGTAGGGAAGGATGTGATAGGAGGGAGGTAGAAGGAGAGATTATATGGATTCATTCTGGAAGTTAAGGGGTTCATATTGTTCATTTCTGAGAGTGCAGGAGGTGGGGGTAAAAAGTTTTCAGGAGGAAGAAGCAGCGGATGAGGCCGCTGAGCTCTGGGAGCTGCAGAGAGCAGGTGGGACCCTTGTGTCGGTGGCTCTCTTCCAAACCTTCCTCCGGCAAGCTCTTACAGAGGTGCTGGCTCAGACTGCTGGACCCGGGCTCCCACTTGGCCTCCATGGAGCAGTCCTGCAGGTCCGCTTACCTTAAAAGTCCTTCCATCCGAAATGTCTGTCTTGGTGTTCTGCCATGCACCAATCACTTGACCGTGGAGACACCGGCCTGTGACGCTCCGGGCCATTCATGTCGCTCTGTGAAGTTAGTTACTGCCGGTAGGGCCCTGGGCCTTTTGTCTTTGACAATCTGGTCAACTCTAATAGGAATGGTGAGGAATGGATTATGTGTTGTGTATTGTGGGGGTTAAGGAAAGGCGTGGGCCTGTCCTCAAGGAGCATTATCTTTTTTATTGTGGCACAATATGCACAGCATATACAACTTACCACTGTAGCCATTTGTAAGTGTCTGTTCAGTGGCATGAAGTTTATTCACAGTGTTGTGTAGCTAATGCCACCATCCATTTCCAGAACTTTTTCCTCATCCCAGGCATCTGGGCGCATAGGTCTTAGCCTGGGGGATGATACACTAGCACGTAGAAAGAGTGAGTTCCCCGTGAGCAAAGGCACTTTCCACATGCACTGTGGATGCTGCTGGAGCCGGAGTTGGGGTCCCCGGCACCTTGGTTTGGTTGAGCATTCAACACTGTGCCTCCAAGCTGGTCACGCTCCCCCTGGTCAGGCTTGCCCCAGGCTCTCCAGCTGTGGGCCTGTGGACTCCCAGTTACAGATAGTTGAGTGACCAGGACAGCGGATGTGCTTTGCAGTCCTGGGCCCCATCACCATCTGTCTGCATCCCATGCAGGGACAGCACGTCAGTCACTCTGTCATTGGGTGGCTGTGCAGGATGCAAGGTGCTGGGGAGTGCCTGCTCCACGTCACTCCCTTCCTGACTCGGCCTTTCTGGTTTTACCCCCTGATCTCCGCAGGGCTCAGAGGTTGTGATGATTAATTTTGTGTGTCAGTTTGGCTGGGCCACAGTACCCAGATATTTGGTCAAACACTATTCTTGATGTGTCTGTGAAGGTGTTTTCTGGATGAGATTAACAAATCCGTAGACTTTGAGTAAAGCAGATTACTCTCCATAAGGGGTGGGCCTCGTCAAATCCGTTGAAGACCTTAATAGAAAAAAAAAAAACTCATCTACCTGGAAGAAGAGGGAACTCTGCTAGAAAAATACCTTTGGGTTTGGATTTGACCTGCAACCTGGGTCTCTAGCCCACCAGCCTGTCCTGCTGGACTTACCAAGCCTCCATTATTATGTGAGTCTCAAAATAAATATCTATCTCTGTTAATAGATGGAAGTGATTTTATATATATATAGGTTCTCTCTCTATATATTTATATTTGTTATATGTCTATCAATATATATATATATATTGGTTCTACTGCAGAGGGTTTTCCTGCAGTTCACCTGGCTTAGAAGTAAGTGTTCTCATAGGAGAGACAGATGTATTTAAG